GTGTTAGTGAGCACTTCTCCTTTGCCGAGATAATCCATGTACCTCACAGGTGTGGCATATCAAGATGCTTTTTAGACATCATGATTATTGCACAGGTGTGCCTTAGGCTGGCCACAATAAAAGGCCACTGTAAAATATGCAGTTTTACTGTATTGGGGAGTCCGGGGGGGTCTGAAAACCAGTCAGTATCTGGTGTGACCACCATTTTCCTCACGCAATGCAACACATCTCCTTCGCATAGAGTTGATCAGGTTGTTGATTGTGGTCTGTGGAATGTTGGTCCACTCCTCTGCAATGGCTGTGCGAAGTTGCTTGATATTGGCAGGACCTGGAATACGCTGTCGTATACGCCGATCCAGAGCATCCCAAACATGCTCAATGGGTGACATGTCTGGTGAGTATGCTGGCCATGCAAGAAAAGGGATGTTTTCAGCTTCCAGGAATTGTGCACAGATCCTTGCAACATGGGGCTGTGCATTATCATGCTGCAACATGAGGTGATGGTCGTGGGTGAATGGCCCAACAATGAGCCTCAGGATCTCGTCACGGTATCTCTGTTGCAGTCAAAATGCCATCAATAAAATGCACCTGTGTTCGTTGCCCATTACATACGCCTGCCCATACCATAACCCCACCACCACCATGGGCCACTTGATCCACAATGCTGACATCAGCAAACCGCTCACCCACACGACGCCTTATACTCTGTCTGCCATCTGCCCTGTACATTGAAAACCGGGATTCATCCGTGAAGAGAACACCTCTCCAAAGTGCCAGACACCATCGAATTTGAGCATTTGCCCACTCAAGTCGGTTACGACGATGAACTGCAGTCAGGCCAAGACCCCGATGAGGACGACGAGCATGCAGACAAGCTTCCCTGAGACGGTTTCTGACAGTTTACGCAGAAATTTTTTGGTCATGCAAACCGTTTGTTGCAGCAGCTCTCCGGGTGGCTGGTTTGAGACGATCTTAGAGGTGAAGATGCTGGATGTGGAGGTCCTGGGCTGGTGTGTATACACGTAGTTTGCGGTTGAGAGGCCAGTTGGATGTACTGCCAAATTCTCTAAAACACTTTTGGAGACGGCTTATGGTAGAGAAATTAACATTCAATTCATGGGCAACAGCTCTGGTGGACATTCCTGCAATCAGCGTGACAATTGCATGCTCCCTCAAAACTTGCAACATATGTGGCATTGTGCTGTGTGATAAACCTTCACATTTTAGAGTGGCCTTTTATTGTGGCCAGCCCAAAGCACACCTGTGCAATAATCATGCTGTCTAATCAGCATCTTGATATGTCACACCTGTGAGGTGGATGGATTATCTCGACAAAGGAGAAGTGCTCACGAACACAGATTTAGACAGATTTGTGAACAATATTTGAGAGAAATAGGCCTTTTGTGTACATAAAAAAAGTCTTAGATCTTTGAGTTCAGCTGATGAAAAATGGAGGAAAAAATAAAAGTGTTGCGTTTATAATTTTCTTCAGTGTATTTTGGTGCCAACTTTACAGAGGGTATATTCAGTTTGATGTTTCGGTTATGAAACAAAACATGGTCTTCTATTTGGTAATTAGGAACAGCCTATTACCAAAAATTTTCAGAGCATCGGTTTTCTTGGCATGGATATGCTGGACCTGCTCCCAAGTTCTCTGTAAATCAATAAAGTGTTGACCCAAGACATGTTCCCTGTGAAGAAAATGCTGTTGCTAAAACAGTAGGATGGAAGCTGTAATTTATATAAAAAGAATTATGCTCTGTAGAGTAATGTTTAGTATTGTTTCAAGCAAACTCAGCACAAAGGAGCAGGTCTTCCCAACTGAAAGCATCTAGATATTGTTCTAATGGTTGTGAATGGAAGAACACAAAAACTGTCTTCCTGTTTTGTGGACGGTTTTATTTATGCCATGATGCCTGACTATCTTGCTTGTATGATATAAGGACATACATTTCTTCTTAAAGGAACACCATAGGGTCAGGAATACAAAAGTAGTAATAGCACTATTTAGGTTGCTGAACCCCCTTACCCTACTTAAATAGGGTTAAAACTCAGGCTCTTCCGGCACTGGCCTGCTCCACATTTGCCTCCTTGGCAGACATCATCATAATTAATAAACTCAGCCAATCAAATGCTTTTCCATAAAAAAGCATTGGATTGGTTGAGATGGTCAATTCTGATGATCTCAGCCAAGGAGGCAAGGCGAGAGTCCCGGGCTAATCAGCATCTCCTCATAGACATGCATTGAATCAACGCATCTCTGTGGGGAATTTCCAGTGTCTCCATGCAGAGCGTGGAGAAGCTCAACATCAGTGATGCACACTGTGCAGCACTGACCCAGGAAGCACCTCTAGTGGCCATCTGAGTGACTGCCACTGGAGGTATCCCTAGGCTGTAATGTATGTCAATAGTCTCTCAATGCTTGCCTATGGGTAAGCATTGGGTTTGCTGAGATCATCAAGACTGATAGTCATAGAGGCGGTGAGTGTTCTGGCCTACTATAACATTGCAGCTGAAGGTGACCCTTTTTCTCACAATTCAGATAGAGAGCCTCTTTTCTCTTATATAATTTCTCAGCCTCTGAGCGCTTAGTAAGACCTATCTCAATAGGCTCAGCAGGTTAAAGAGATGGTGTCTCTCTCAGCTGTTTCACGAATTGGTGCTAATAGAGGGGTTTTCTTTAGCTTACCTTTTTTTTTTTTACACGTTTCTTTAATATTATTTCACACAAAAAAATAAAACAGGACAACATATATACTATAGAAGTCTAATAGTACATGTGATAGGTAATTTATAAGATCTTCAGAGGTTCTGGTAAATCCATGGCTGACACTTCATCAAGTAGGGTATCGGATAGTCCATTAATTAAAAAAAAAAAAAAATCCACAAAGACCTGGTTATTCCATTGTATTCAAGGGTACGGAATTCAAGGTCATAGTGTAACCAAAAGAATGTGTGCCCTGTCTTAATCTGAGTGGCAATTTCACAGCTGTAACAGAGCAGGACACCTTTAGTGATTATAGCAGCCTAAACTTGATAAAGGGTGAAAACAAAGATATTTTATTTGGTTCAAATGTACACGTTTATACACAGACCCCCAGGAGGGGATCATTAACTGAATCCATGGAGATTCCATCTAGGTGCCTCTGTGTCTAGGAGATACAGATCAGGTAACACTGATCTAATCAACCTCCAGACAACAAGGTGCCTTAACAGACTATCCCCAAAACACACATATAAATTTCACAAAACCCCACATGTAGTTTCCCTGCATAGCTCGTCCCCTAGCTCCCTAACTGGTAAAACAGTACCGTAATCCATTGCATGGGATCCAAGCTACCTCAGATTAAAGTTTCAGTGGTTTGTGTCACTGTTCCTATCCACTCTGCAGTTCCACAGAGTTTCCAGGTTTTTCCAGATTGGGCGTATGGAGTCCTCAAAGCTAATCGGTATGTGGAAGTCTGGTTCAAGTCACTCTGTGCCCCAAAGAAGCACAGGGTGACTTAGACATAACAGAGGATTTTGAAGCTTAGAAAGGAAGTCTCCCATAAATCCGTCATGGCCACCTTAAAACTTACCCCTATATGTCCCTATTCTCAGGTATCTGCACACACACACATTAAAACACTAAATGTTTCCAGCCCAGGGCACTTGCTGGCACAGAATTATTGGCAACAAAGATAGCATAGCTATACATCAGGGGGTTATTGTTCTGCCATAATGGGTTTGCCCAGATGAGAGCTTTGTCAATGAAATGATTGATCATAAACCCCACTTTGGTTCTCTTTGTAAGATAAGCATGGGTAGAGAGCTCAAAGTATATGTTAACTTGATTAAGAAAACAAGCTGTGTCACTGTCTCCTCCATAACACACATGCACAGTCATGTTAATGGAAGACATAGCAGGATTGATTGTTTCTAACTGCTGGAGCGGTTTGTCCTTTAGTCTGCAAACAAGTTGTGCAGTTTAGCAATGTTTGCAGAGCTTAGGCGAACTGTCCTATTGTCTATCCATATTGACCTCAAAAGTTGCTAACTGGGGATTCATACCTGGCGGGTCCATGGCCCTGTTGTAATGTCATGGTCTAACTACAACCCCAGATTGAGTAAGGGCTGCACTCAACCAAAAAACAGGGTACTCACTGAGTTAGGGTCAGCACTCCCCACATACACATGATGTGAAGAAAACATACCCAGGCACTCAGTTTTAAGTTTCAAGCAGATTTATTGGGACATCCAGGTGCACAGCAACGTTTCGACCTGTACCCAAGTGCTTGTCAAGCTTTCACCTGGATGTTCCAATAAATCTGCCCGAAACTTAAAACAGTAAGAGTATTTTTTCTTTACATCGTCTATAACAGGCTTCCCCGAACTCCGACCCTCCAGATGTTGCTGAACTACAACTCCCATGATTCTCAGCCTATCTATTTCATTCATAGAATCATGGGAGTTGCAGTTCAGCAACATCTGGTGGGCCGGAGTTTGGGGAAGCCTGGTCTATAACCCCAACACACAGAGTATGAAACCCAATCTAGATAAACAGGCATACATATACATTACCAGTTCTTAGAGGTGACGGGTCTTCACTTATAACAGAGTAATAGAGTAAACTTGCGTAAAATGTGATTTTAAAATATTTATTTATTAATTACTGACATTTATAAAGCGCCAAGATGTTCCAATTGGGAAAAAAAAGAGAATACAGTACAAACAGACCCTCACATTAGGTAGAGGTCCTGCTCTGCCCACGAGCTTACAATCTAAATATCTATGTTTATGGAATTGCATGAATTTGTGTGAAACTCGAAAACCTATTCCTCTCCTACAGACAACAAATGTATAAAAATGTATAAAAAAACCCACAATATAACACGAGCTGGGATGGCTCAGCCGTCACATAGCAACAACAACAACTGCCCAACATCTTTATTGCTTTGCTCCTTGAGCTCCGAACTAATAAAGTTATTGAAAGCGAAGACAAAAAAAAAAAAAGAACTAAAGAAAAGGAAAGGGTTTCCTCTCGCGAGAGCACGCGCGTGATTACGCACTCTGAGTGAAGCGGAGACGTTGCGGCCCTTTGAACTCGTCGTCGCTGCGCGCTCGGTTTGTTGTGTGAGAAGCTGAGAGATCGGAGCTCTGAACATGGCTGACATCGACCAGCAGGATTCCCAGGACGCACTGCACACCAGCAGCGACAACAACAGCGTCAACGACGACCAGGGAGACGAGAGCGCGGGAGAGGAGGCCCCCACCAACGGCGTCAAGAAGTAGGTGCTCCGGCCTCTCAGCAAATGGCCGGCCCGAGGCGGGAGAGGAGAGAGCCCGGGCCAGCGGTGACCGGCTGCCGAGAGGGAGAACAATGGCGGCTGGGCCGAGACCCAGGGCCCGTGTATAGACTGAGAGCTATATTACAGCACACCCAGGGCCTGTGTATAGACTGAGAGCTGTATTACAGCGCACCCAGGGCCTGTGTATAGACTGAGAGCTATATTACAGCACACCCAGGGCCCGTGTATAGACTGAGAGCTATATTACAGCGCACCCAGGCCCTGTGTATAGACTGAGAGCTATATTACAGCACACCCAGGGCCTGTGTATAGACTGAGAGCTATATTACAGCGCACCCAGGCCCTGTGTATAGACTGAGAGCTATATTACAGCACACCCAGGCCCTGTGTATAGACTGAGAGCTATATTACAGCACACCCAGGGCCTGTGTATAGACTGAGAGCTATATTACAGCGCACCCAGGCCCTGTGTATAAACTGAGAGCTATATTACAGCACACCCAGGCCCTGTGTATAGACTGAGCGCTGTATTACAGCACAACCAGGGCCCGTGTATAGACTGAGAGCTATATTACAGCGCACCCAGGCCCTGTGTATAAACTGAGAGCTATATTACAGCACACCCAGGCCCTGTGTATAGACTGAGCGCTGTATTACAGCACACCCAGGGCCCGTGTATAGACTGAGAGCTATATTACAGCACACCCAGGCCCTGTGTATAGACTGAGAGCTGTATTACAGCACACCCAGGGCCCGTGTATAGACTGAGAGCTGTATTACAGCACACCCAGGCCCTGTGTATAGACTGAGAGCTGTATTACAGCACACCCAGGGCCCGTGTATAGACTGAGAGCTGTATTACAGAACACCCAGGGCCCGTGTATAGACTGAGCGCTATATTACAGCACACCCAGGGCCTGTGTATAGACTGAGAGCTATATTACAGCGCACCCAGGCCCTGTGTATAGACTGAGCGCTATATTACAGCACACCCAGGCCCTGTGTATAGACTGAGCGCTATATTACAGCACACCCAGGGCCTGTGTATAGACTGAGAGCTGTATTACAGCACACCCAGGGCCTGTGTATAGACTGAGAGCTACATTGCAGCACACCCAGGGCCTGTGTATAGACTGAGAGCTATATTACAGCGCACCCAGGCCCTGTGTATAGACTGAGAGCTATATTACAGCACACCCAGGCCCTGTGTATAGACTGAGCGCTATATTACAGCACACCCAGGGCCTGTGTATAGACTGAGAGCTACATTGCAGCACACCCAGGGCCTGTGTATAGACTGAGAGCTATATTACAGCGCACCCAGGCCCTGTGTATAGACTGAGAGCTATATTACAGCACACCCAGGGCCTGTGTATAGACTGAGAGCTATATTACAGCACACCCAGGCCCTGTGTATAGACTGAGAGCTATATTACAGCAAACCCAGGCCCTGTGTATAGACTGAGAGCTATATTACAGCGCACCCAGGCCCTGTGTATAAACTGAGAGCTATATTACAGAACACCCAGGGCCCGTGTATAGACTGAGCGCTATATTACAGCACACCCAGGGCCTGTGTATAGACTGAGAGCTGTATTACAGCACACCCAGGCCCTGTGTATAAACTGAGAGCTGTATTACAGCACACCCAGGGCCTGTGTATAGACTGAGAGCTATATTACAGCACACCCAGGGCCTGTGTATAGATTGAGAGCTGTATTACAGCACACCCAGGGCCCGTGTATAGACTGAGAGCTGTATTACAGCACACCCAGGGCCTGTGTATAGACTGAGAGCTGTATTACAGCACACCCAGGCCCTGTGTATAGACTGAGAGCTGTATTACAGCACACCCAGGCCCTGTGTATAGACTGAGAGCTATATTACAGCACACCCAGGCCCTGTGTATAGACTGAGAGCTATATTACAGCACACCCAGGGCCTGTGTATAGACTGAGAGCTATATTACAGCACACCCAGGGCCTGTAAAAACATTTATTTATTTTGTTAATTAAAAATGGTGACAAATTGCAAATAATCCTAGTCTGTACTGCAGTGTTTTTCTTTTAAACCTATGCACCCATCAATTTTTTTTTTAGATAAATTACTTTCCAGTTTTTTATTTTAAGGGGATACTCTTGGTGCCCACTTATATTAAGTGTAGGTTTAAGACTAGTTAGGTTGCTGCTGGTTATTCTGGGTGTGGATTTAACAAAAAACATGATCATCATGCAATATCCATATAATGCATTATAGGGGCACTCTTAAAGGACAACTATAGTGCCAGGAAAACATACTTCTTTTTTTTTTTTTTTTTGGCACTATAGTGCCCTGAGGGTGCCCCCACCCTCAGGGACACCCTCTCGCCGGGCTCTGGGGAGAGGAAGGGGTTAAACTTACCTCTTTCTCCAGCGCGGGGCAGGGAGTTCTCCTCCTCCTCCTCTCCGCCTTCTCTTCGGCTGAATGCGCATGCGTGGCAGGAGCTGTGTTCGCATTCAGCCAGTCTCATAGGAAAGCATTTACAATGCTTTCCTATGGACGCTGGCGTCTTCTCACTGTGATTTTTCAGTGAGAAGCACGCAAACGCCTCTAGCGGCTGTCGAGACAGCCACTAGAGACTGGCTGGATTAACCCATTTATAAACATAGCGGTTTCTCTGAAACTGCTATGTTTTTATATAAAAAAAAGGGTTAATCCTAGCGGGACCTGGCACCCAGACCACTTCATTAAAGGACCACTATAGTGCCAGGAAAACATACTCGATTTCCTGGCACTATAGTGCCCTGAGGGTGCCCCCATCCTCAAGGTCCCACTCCCGCCTGGCTCTGGAAAGGGGTTTAAACTTACCTTTTTCCAGCGCTGGGCGGAGAGCTCTCCTCCTTCTCTCCTCCTCCGTTCCGTCGGCTGAATGCGCACGTGCGGCAAGAGCTGCGCGCGCATTCAGCCGGTCACATAGGAAAGCATTCATAATGCTTTCCTATGGACGCTGGCGTGCTCTCACTGTGAAAATCACAGTGAGAAGCACGCAAGCGCCTCTAGTGGCTGTCAATGAGACAGCCACTAGAGGCTTTGCGGGAAGGCTTAACCCATTAATAAACATAGCAGTGTCTCTGAAACTGCTATGTTTATTAAAAAATGGGTTAACCCTAGCTGGACCTGGCACCCAGACCACTTCATTAAGCTGGAGTGGTCCTTTAATTCGCTAAGAGCGTTCAGCTGACGCTCTCAACTAATGAATAGTGACTGGTTGGGCTTCTGCAGAAACCGGAAATGCATCACCGAAAGGAGAAATTGCACTGGAGCCTGGTTGGACCCAAGAAAGAGGCAAACTGTTAGTAAACGGCTTGTCACGTTACCAGGGAACCGGCCAAGGCACTCCTGACAATCTAAAAAGCGTTTAAAAAAAAAAAAAAAAAAACATACAAGTATAATTTGAATAATATTTTGTTATACATCTATTTTTAAACTAGCGAAAGCTAATAATGTTCTAAATATGTTATGTATGTATATGCTTAATCTGTCTTTTTCATAAAGAGATGAAGATTCTCCAAAAGAAGAAAAACCCTCATTGAAGGAAAAATCTACCGGAAACAGAAAGGGTAGTAGATTCCACCCATATGGCAAAGACAGACCGTCTGGCTCTGGAGACAAAAAGGGTCAAAGTCGTAATAGAGTATTCATCAGTAATATCCCTTATGACATGAAGTGGCAAGCCATCAAAGATCTTATGAGGGAAAAAGGTAAACCATTGGTAGCATTGCAAACATGAGTTCATCCAGGTTCCCTGTCATTTACATCTCTTCTAAGAAGTTGCTGCTTTCCTTTCCAAAAGCATCATTTGTAATTTGACATTAGTTATGTATTAACATACCACTTTTTTTTTTTTTTTTTTTAATATGGAAAGTGTATGCTTAGTACAATTTACACTTGAATAGTTATGTAATATCTCCCCCACCCCCTTCGGTTGAGCTAAATTTAAAACATTTTAGTGTTTTAGTAAGCACACTTAAATAACAATGCTAAAACTTGACTTGTATACAGAACTATAGCATGTTTATTATGTTTATTTTTTTTGTATCACCAGAAAGTCTGCTGCAATTTTCATTCAAAATTTGAATTGTGAAATTTTGGCTTAGTAAGCCATTTAATTCCTACCCGTGAAACAAATTACAGTGAAACTGGGGGGAAAGTATGGTCTTTGCAATTATTTTTACTCAGGAAATTGATTATGCTCAAATTGAATCATCTGGTCTTATGGTAGCTTCCTAAAATGTAATGTTTGTAATATCTGGTGTATCTGTTGTAAGGTGACATGACTATTTGATTGGTTTTATTCACTGTATTCCCTTGTTTGTAGCTTGCTGTGAAACACATGACTTTGTAAATTTGGATTTTAAGGCAATTTTACCATTGAAGACATTCAGGTAGAAGGTCACCTTAAAACAGCTGTTGTGAGTTGGATGACAAACGCTAAAGTGATAATGTTGGCTGAGGGTCCAGTTTTGTATCTGAATTTGTTCACCAACTACATCATACTGGCCAAATATAACTTATAGCAATAAAGAGGTTACAATCTGGTAGTTTGCATTGCTTTTGATAATGTGGCTGCTTCACATATATTCTGAAAAGTAGCTAAATCATGTAGCCATAGACAGGTGGTATGCTGGTCTGGGTTTGATTGTTGGTGAATAATAGGTTATTTTTGTAGTGTTGTGCACAGGGCACAGTAAAGAAAGCTACTGGTGTTTTAAATGCATTGTCTTTTGGTATTTTCCCTTTGTATGTCTTATGTAGTTGGTGAGGTTACATACGTGGAGCTCTTTAAGGATGCTGAAGGAAAATCAAGGGTAAGTGCCGTGGGCAACAACTTGCTTGAGGCGTAAAAGTCCCTCAGCAGTCTTCTGTAATACCTGTACAAGTTATTTTGGGAAAGTAAGTTTCATTTTATTATACTGTATTGCAGTATGAATGTTCCAGGGTTCTCAGTCGTTTATTCTCATCTCTAAATTACAAGAGGTTGAAAGTGACTAACTGCATTTTCATTGTTTTCCAAACATTTTGCTTGCTCAACTCTTGTGAGTTTGCTGCTAAAAGCTCAATGCAGAAGGCTGTCAGGTTTTGAATACTGGTTCAGTTTAAACTTGATCTTTGCTATATTAATAAAAAAAAAAAATCACTTGCAAATCTGACAGTATTACTGGGAGTGTACTGAATTTCCTTTTTTTGGACTATAAATGCCTGTTGTTGTTTGCAGGGCTGCTCAAAAGTCAGTGCTGTGAACGTTCTGAGTCCCAGAGCTAGTTTTTTAAACTGATATTGATTAAGCTTTCAAAGGCTTACAGTCTAATGATGAGACAAGGGACAGACATTTAGCATGCGGAAAGGAAGATAATCTGTATCCCATTTCCTCTGTTTTCTGGAACTGATCCAAAATTTCAGCCATGTGTTTGTAGAGGCTAATACGAAGTTATCTGAATTTCCATGTAACATAAAATTGCACAGAAATTTTTAATGTCCTGTAAAATGAAAAGTAGTTGAATTTGAGAGAAACCACAAATGGTTTCCTACTTTTATATAAATCAAAAAAAGAACAAAAATATTCAGCAGCATTTCATATGCAATTAGATTTTGTTTTTATTAATCTTAACATTTTACATATGTTGCTAAAATAAAACTTCTGTTTTCTGGTGTAATCTGTAATTTGCAAACTAATTTATTCTTCCTTCTTTCTTTTTATGTGGTCTAATGGATTTAGGGCTGTGGGTAAGTGTTTACTTTTTATTAAAAAAAAAAAAAAAAAATTATTGTGATTATTTTAACGATGTAATACATTGTCTTCAACTTGAATTTTTTTTTTTTTTTAGTGTTGTGGAGTTCAAGGACATGGAATTTGTTACAAAAGCTCTAGAAGTAATGAGTAAACATGATCTTAATGGAAGACCCCTTAACATTAAAGCGGTAAGAGCTTAGGATGCCTTGAGTCTCTAGGTGATGTTATATCCATACAAAAATGCATAACTTTTTCCTTTTAATAATTTTTGCTTGGTATTGAGGAGTAGATTTTCTGTGACCAGGCCTTCCAAAGTTAATCGTTTCTACTGTATGTCTATTCTGTTGTGCCAGTTAATGAATTAAATTGCTGACAGGTCTGTAAAGTACATATCCCATACAGCTCATGCAGGACAAGTGTTAATTGAAACTGGTTTAAGTGACACTCCAAGCCTCATATCCAGTACAGATTACTGTGGTGTTTGAGCTGCTATGAGTCTTTAGATTTCATTCCCCAGAAGTGTGTCAAACTGTTTTGAGGCAGTTTTACAAAATGTGTCATTCCTTTGCACCCAAAGCCCAGCACGTTGTGAGCAAATTGTTTAATTCACTTACGTAAAAAGGTGTCTGGATACTGCTGCAACAACGTTAAATGAGCTTCAGTTACTATTAGGCTAAGTGTGTTCCTTCAGTTTTGGGAACCAATTTACCCCTATTGTTGTGTGTCTGTATATAATAAACAGAGATTAGGATTCTTTAAAACGTTTTCCTTTATTTTTGCAGGATGCAGACGGAGAGCATGCACGAAGAGCTTTGCAACGTGGAGGTGGGCCATTCCCTAGTGGTCATAATTCTGAAATGGGTCCTGGAATCCTGAATCTCCCACCTTCAATACTCAATAATCCTAACATACCCCCAGAAATTATCACTGCCTTAAGAGCAGGAAGACTGGGTACAACTGTGTTTGTTGCTAATGTAAGTATAACTAACCAAAAGGTTATTTTAAAGTGTCACCACGAATCAAATCAATGTAGTCTGGAATAATGTTTATGTATTGCCACTATTTTAACCGCTCTATGCATCACACCACCTGCTCCCCGACTAGAACCACGTTTTAAATGCAATACATAATACACTCTGGGGGCCTAAGTAGTGGCCCTGTTTGTGTTATTTTTTTTTTTTTTTCCTCCTTCTTCTCTTGGTAAACAGAGGAGCTCAATAGATGGATTAAAAAAAAAAAAAAATCTATTTTAATGTGATAAAATCCCAAGTGGATCATTGGGCTAAATTTAGTCCAATGATCCACTTGGGATTTTATTACAATAAAATAGATTTTTTTTTTTATTTATTTTTTTTAAATCCATCTATTGAGCTCCTCTGTTTACCAATAGAAGAAGAAAAAAAAAAAAAACAGAAGTAATCAAAGATACCAAAATATACATTAGGAAAAAAGATTGTCAAGGGACCTGTATCTCCTCATGAACAAGTTTACAAAGGTAAAGTTTTACAATCTGCAAAGACAAGACCCAAACACACTCCTCTTCCAATGCTTTGTCAAAGTGCCTTTTTTCAAGGAGAATTACTTGAGAATATATGAATGTTGGAATAGTGAAACATGACCTTGGATAACATTCCTATAAGGAAACGTGTATGTTTTTGGTGTCTTATGTTCTTTTATTTTTTAGCTTGACTTTAAAGTTGGTTGGAAGAAATTGAAAGAGGTATTCAGCATTGCAGGAGCTGTAAAGCGAGCAGATATCAAGGAGGATAAAGATGGCAAAAGCCGTGGAATGGGAACAGTTACCTTTGAACAGTCACTTGAAGCAGTACAAGCGATTTGTATCCTTTGTTTTATAAAAAAAAAAAAAATGTAAAATGCACTGTAGCTGTTTGTGGAATTTCTTTATTATATTTGGGTACTTTGTTTACACTATAGTCACAAAACAACTTTAGCTTAATGAAGCAGGTTTAGTATATAGATCATGCCTCTGACATTTTACAGCTCAGTTCTCTGCCATTTAGGAGGGGGAAAAAATGGTTTCACTTTCAATATGATGCAACTTACCTTAAAAGTGTTCATCTCCTGGTCTGTAAAATGAACCTTAATTACATACAGGAGGTTCCTGCATGAGTCTAGCAAGCTACTAACAGCGCAGGAGATAAATTATACATTTTAAAGGAATCTGCAATAGCGGATGTATAATAATTACATTGCAAAAGTGATGATAGGAGCCGCACTCAATCCCAGCAGCCATCCGCTGCTTTAGAGCAGGGCCAGCAATCCCACAACGATAAGGTAACACAAATTTTTTTTTTTTCAGGCACTCAAGGTGTTCAAGCTGCATGCAGTTTTAATGGAACAGGAGCAGCAACATTTCAACCTCCTAAGAGGTCTTTGCCAAGCTTGACAAAGAACTATTAGCAGGTCCAAATGTTGCTGCTCCTTTTGTTCTATTAAAACTGCCTGCGCTTGAACACCTTGAGTGCCTGGAAAATTTCTTGTATAAACATTAGATGACCCTTTACAGGAAGTGGTTTTAGGAAGACTGTGTATGTCTCACATGCAGGGAGGTGTAACAAAGTGATTTTACTCCTAAATGGTATAGAATTGAGCAGTGAGACTGCAGGGGCATGATCTATGCACCAAAACTGATTCATTACGCTAAAATTGTTTTGGTAACTATATTAAATACAAGATGTAGGAATACATAGTTTGCAAGCCTTTTGCTCTTATGCAGTCTCTAATGTTACATTTATTATGGATAAACCCTTTCTGTTGTGAATTAGCATAGCTGGTTATGTCTCTCTGCAGACTGCATTGTTCCTTAACCAGCTTGCACCCAGCTATGTTCAATGGACAGTTTTTGTTTGACAGACCTATGCACGTGAAAATGGTAAGTAGCATATGACACACAGATCTTGGCTCCATGACTCCCTCTTAACCATTTTATTTAGTCTTTTTTTTTTTATTATTTTTTTTTAACCAGGATGATAAATCAATCCCTCACGATGACTTTCATGCAATGGAAAATAAAGCACCTCAGCTACCTCGTAAGTAGTTAAAAAAAAAAAAAAAAAAAAGCGACCTGCTGCTGGTATGAGTTGGTATGGCTAAACAGTGTAATTTCTGCCTTGGTCATGCCAGTGGGTTCAAGGCTGTGTACAACTAGGGAAGTTCAGTTAATGTTAAGCTGCTCAAAAACAGATTTGGCACTGAATGGTGGGACAGCACCAGAGGACTTTAGGCACTATAACCAATTCAATAACTTATAATGGTAGTTATATCTAGAAGAGATTTTTTCAGTGTGTAGCTAAAACCCAAAACAAAATACTGATCCATTTCAATGTCTTCTGTTGGGAGAATTCCCACCCTCAAATTCACAGGTATGGAGCTTTATCTATAATCTGTGCTCTAAGTTGGTTAAAACACTCTAGTCACCAGAATAACGACAGCTTAAGTAGGTGTCTGGTGAGTATAGTCAATCCCTGCAGGCCTTTTTGCTGCAAACACTCTTTTCAGAGAAAAGGCAGTGTTTACATTAGTCTAGACTATTTTATTTATCTGGTTGCTGCGCCCGGAGCCTCGTGTAGCCGCGCCCCCTATTTCGTCAAAATGACGAAATAGGCGGGCGCGAGCAGGGAGCAATCAGACACTTCCATTTGAAAGCATCATTGCTCCCTCCTCAGAAGGTTACTAGAGATGCTTTCTGGGGCAGTGCAGCACTGACTTCCAGTGTCTCCACCCTCTGCATGGAGACACTGAACTTTCCTCATAGAGATGCATTAATTCATTGCTACTCTATGTGGAGATAGTGAATGTCCAGTCTGCTGGTGCTGGCTCTCCCCCCACTTCGCCTCCTTGGCTGAGCCCATCAGAACTGACCATCTCAGCCAACCCAATGCTTTTCTATGGGAAAGCATTGTGATCGGCTGAAAAATGTCTGTCTGGTAAGCATTCAGATCGGGAGCAGAGCCGTCATTAGCAGACTGGCATAAAGGTAAGATATTTTACTATACCCAAGAGGCGTGGGGTGAGGAGGGGTGCGCTAGATGTTTGTGTTACTGACTCTGTAGTGTTTAACGTTGTTTCTCGGATTTAAAATGTCTGACCACCAGGGCCATATATGTACACATTGTAAGAGCTATCCTTATAATCCAACATAGTCCGAGTTAATTGACTAATTTTGTATTTCCTGCTCGGTAGGGAGTGTCTAAAAAGTACCCTATTAATAACATTGTTACGATGTGAACAGTTTAGGCAAGGGAATGTGCCATTCTTAGGCTCAGAATAATCAAATCTCACCAATGTGCATACAGTATCTTGTTAAACTGTTTAGATGTTTTGCTTTACAGAACAACCGTACATGTGTAAATTACTGCTTTATCAACAGGTGGTCTTGGTGGTATTGGCATGGGTCTAGGACCAGGTGGACAACCAATCAGCACAACTCAGATTGGCATGGGTAACATGGGTCCTGGAGGCAAGTATAAGTAAATTCCATATACTCAGTGTTTGGTTATCCAAGGAAACAAACTTGTTTTGGAAATGGAGATGAAAAACTGCTTAACTTTTTTTTTTTTAAATATATATTTTAAAGGTATGGGTATGGATGGTCCAGGCTTTGCTGGAATGAATAGAATGGGAGGTGAGTTTCACATTAAAATTTACTTGTTTGTTTTATTTGGCTATCTGTAGTGTGAACACTTAAAAACTAATATTGGTTTGTTTTTCTATATTAGCAAGTGGATTTGGTGGAATGGAAGGAATTAATAACATGGCAGGATTTAGTGGCATGAGCAGAATGGCAGGTATGGATTGAGTCTATTTATAAAGCACTAAATCAGATGGCTTTCATTGCTACGTTTATTTATACCTGTTTTGGTTTAGCAAGAGGGAAAAACCTATCTGCCAGACATTAGTAATGTGACTTAATTCATACTATTTTAAGATCTAGAGATCCTTCAAAAAGTACCAGGAGGTAAAAAAAAAACTTAGTTGGATACAAAATAACAAATCAAAAATCTTGCTGATCCATCAGATTAACTTCATACTTAGACTCTGGCCTGCAGTAAATTTTATGTTGGGTTACTTCCTCACCCCCTCTTTTACAAATTTTATTCCTTCTGTGTAGGAATGGGTGGTGTGGATGACTTCAGAGGCAGTTTAGGCTCTGGCATGAGTGGAAGCATGGCAAGCAGCATGGCGGGCATGGGAAGCATGGCAAGCGGCATGGGAGGTAAGCTGGCTGTATGAAAATACATGACATTTGCATTTAATACTATTTTAACTTTTTTCTTTTAATAAAGAATATATTTTATTTCCTAGACATGTACCGAGGAGGAATGGGAGGCAGCATGGACAGAGATTTTGGTCGCAGTGATATAGGCTTGAGTCGTGGATTTGGGGATTCGTTTGGAGGAATGAGTACGATATTTTTTTTTTTTTTTTTTTTGTATTCTAGGGTATGGAATGGGGACTTCTTACAACCACCAATATTTAGTTTGGTGTTGACTAGCTATAAGCCTGGTTCATCTGTCTAGGCAAAGCTTCAAATGTATCAAGGCCAGGTTATTTTCTTTTTTCCTCCCCATAATTGTTTTAAGGTCCAATGATATCTTTATATATTTTTTCAGTTTACATGAATCTTGCAGTTTGTCTTATTTGTGGGGAAAACATAAACGCAAACGGTTTCACTTTCGTAAGCTGTTTGCATGAGTGATTCACTGACAATCTCCACAAAATTAGTAATATCCCCTTGCTTTCAGACCGAAAACTGTTAAAGTAAAAATTTAATTTTAAAATATTTTATTACATCAATTACATGTGTAGTTAATCGGTGTCAAATAAAAATCTAAAATTCTAAAGTAGCAGTCTAGGCACAATTACCTCTACATGCTGATGCAGTGTTCAGTGGTTCCTACGACACATCACATAATATCTCTCTAAAAGTTTCACTTTTTAATTAGATAAAAATATCATCTATTTATTTTATTTTATTTTTTTTATGAAAATGTCCTTTATAAAAAAATAATAATAGATAAGACATAATAAAGATGTATTGATGTCATGGAATTATTCTGCATTGTGACCAATTTTATTTTATTTATTTTTTTTTACTTCTGTGCACAGGTGGTGCCATGGTAGGCAGTTTTGGAGGAATGAGTTCTTCTGCAATGGGTCCCCTAGGCTCTGGAATGAGTAGGTTTATTTTAATTCTTTTTTTTTTTTTTTTTGTTCTCCAAAATATATTCATGCTAAAGCTATAATTATTTAAACACTTCTCCCCTCCCCCTCTTTTCTTAGGCAGTGGCATGGGTGCAGTAAATAGTATGGGTATGGGTCTTGGCATGGACAGAATGAACACAAACTTTGACCGAATTGGAGGTGGCTTGGACAGGAATATGGACATGGACAGAGGATTTGGAGGATTTGGCTCTTCTCAGTTAGGAAGTGGTTTAAGAGATCGGGGAAACAAAGGATGTCAAATATTTGTGCGAAATGTAAGTTGTTCAATTCTTGAAATCTGTGTTGCAATCCAACTTTGAAAATGTTGTTAAAAATATCTATTCTCTTGTTCCAGCTACCATTTGACTTGACTTGGCAAAAATTGAAAGAGAAATTTAATCAGTGCGGTAAGTATTTATTCTACATTACACTCAGTGAGTGTTAATGGCGGTACTTCATAGTTTAGTGGAAATATACATTGACCTATACATTTCACATATTTTGTGAAAATGACAGTCCATTAAAATGCTTGTAGGATTATATATAAAGGGTGGGAGGATGTAATACCCTTTATTTTTTTAAACGTTCTAGAAGTTGGGTAATGGCAAAGCCCTCCCAGACCTGGAATAAGCTCCATAAATCGTGAGCTTGTAGGTCTGGTGTATTTTTGGTAGCAGCCTATGAAATAGATATATAGATCTATTTATATTATTTCTCATAAGCCCCTACCTAAGAAAACTAATAAAAAAAAAAAAAAAATTATATATATATATATATATATATATATATATATATATATATATAATTTTTTTTTTTCTCTCTCTCTCTCATTACATAGGGTGAGTAGAATTGCTAAAAAAAACTGCTTTTAGTTGGTCCTCAAGTTGTGTGCATTGATCTGCTGCATGCGCAGAGTTTAGTGGAGTATGTGCGCACGCATGCATTCTATAGACACATCTTGGAGAGAAAAGGACGAAGTAAAAATCCTGCATGACATGACTAATGTAAGGGGCAGGTTTATAGCTGCAGCAATGCATTTATTTATTTTTCTTCAAATATGTGTTGTAAGTGTGTGCAGAAAATAAGGCACCCTGTCCTCTCCAAAAAATTTAATTGTTATGGTGCTTAGTATGGTTCTTTAAAGGGACTCTTCAGCCAGACTATTTTACTTACCTGGTTCCTGCGCCGGGCGCCTCGTGTAGCCGTGCCCCCTATTTAGTCAAAATGACGAAATAGGTGGGCACGAGCAGGGAGCAATCAGACGCTTCCATTTGAAAGAATCATTGCTCCCTTGTGCGCATGCATTTATTGCGCCCTATGAAGTCCTGAGCGCACTACCGCGTGTGCGCGGTCGCGAGCTGACTGACAGCTCAGCTCGCGGTCTTTGCCTGCACCGTCTCTTCTGCTGACAGGCAGGAGAGAGAAGGCACACGCACAGTGCCTTCCCTCTCCAGCACACGTCTGACGTGTACAAGGCCTTTTTAGGGCCCTACATGATAGGAAGTCCCTCTGCTGGCCGTCTGAGTGACGGCCACTGGAGGTATTCCTATCAATCAATGTAAACACTATTTTTTTTTTATTTTTTTTTTAAAATACAGTGTTTACATTAGATTGCCTGCAGGGAGCTATAGATCTCACCTGAACAAATACAATAAGCTGTAGTTGTTCAGGTGACGATAGTGTCCCTTTAACATATCTAGAGTATTCTAAGAGCAGCTCAATTCCATGACTGTCCTGCAGGGTTACCTTATCCATGATTATAACATTTGCTCTTTTAGAGTTGTGCTTGTACTGAACAAGCACAACTCTAAAAGAGCAAATGTTATAATGCCATGAGATTACATCTGCACTTTATTTTAACTCTTTCTTTTTATGTATGTGTCATCTGTGAAGTTACATACCTTTTTTCCTTTATTTCAGGTCGTGTAGTTTTCGCAGAGATAAAAATGGAAAATGGAAAATCTAAAGGCTGTGGAACTGTACGATTTGACTCTCCAGAAACTGCAGAAAAGGCCTGCAGATTAATGAATGGCAGCAAAATAAATGGCAGAGAAATTGATGTCCGCTTAGATCGTAACGCATAATTTCTTGTTTTTGTCCAATGACATTCCCATATTTGTTTAGTCTTTTTGGTAAAGAAATTTTTAGTAACCGTGAGTTAGAGCTGTAAAGGTTGGTTTTAGTCTTTAAGCCTTTACCTAGTGTGGTGTTAAACATGTAATTTTGTTATGGCTGCTTTTCCTTTCTCTTTATTTTTTATTTTTATTTTTTTAAACACCATGTCTTAGTCATTCAGTTTAAATGAATGGACATACTGTTTTTAATAAAGCCATTTCACACAGCTAGTTTTGAAAGTCTGCCTTGTGGGGTTTTAGTGCTGTATTTTATTTTTGTTATAAAACTGTAACAATTGTGTGGCTTCACCACAGCTCCACTTCTACAAAAAAATGTAAGAATAAATGAACTCTGAACGGTTGAAAATAATTGGCATACTGGTGTGATTGGTATGTTTTGTCCAAGGGTTTTAAGCACCAATTTTTTAACTTGAGTGATTTATGGAATTGCAAGACATTCCACTAAATTTATCCTTCATGGGTAAATATGGGCAATTTGAGCAAATTAAGTTCCAAAAATCCAAATTTGTTAATGCCTCTGACTAGTTCCCCCAATGCATTCAGAAGAGTTGCATAATTGGTGGAATACATGTATAGCATTTATAGGGACACTTTGAAGGGTCTGGCTGCAGTGTCCCTGTCCCCCTTAGTCCTGCAATTTAAAACATTGCATTTTTTTTCTGGCATATGGTGGCAGTACATGTGGGTTTTGCTCCTTTCCTGTGGACAAGCATTTAACAAGATTAAGTTAACAAACCCCTCCCCCTTGCCCTATATAAGGGCTATCTGGCAAAAACGACCCCAGTTTCCTTTCTTGTCCTGAGAGTGAAGGACACAGCATCTAGATGGTGAGACACACAGGCTGCTGGTCTGGAGGATCCGGTCCGAGAGCTGCCCGGGTGGTAGGCTGAGAGACCATGCTTTGACCGGTAGGTTACGGAGCAAGTGGAGATGTGATTCCTTTTATGCTGAGAGCGGTTCCGGCAATACTTCCTGGAGGTGTTTATCTGGCGCACAGCGGTGGAATGCACGCCCGGTGGTGCTGCGTTCCACCTAAGCTTCCGGTTGCGCTAGTATACATATGCAAACCGAAAGTTTTATTTTAAAAAAAAAAAAAACCCTCCAAAATCTGAGCTGTGCAGGTACCCACGGACAGCAGGGATGCTTGTCAGAAGAGGTACTCCGTGTCACCAACCCCCACACGGCTCAGAGGTATTTTAAGGTAAGATTAACCAATCTTTACTTTAAAACTCTCTGTAAAGTTTATACATGTAAGTTACAAGGAAAAAGACTACAAGGAAAGAAGAGTGGTAATAAAGAGTTGGCATTTTAAACCTATGAACATAGGGCTTATATCTCCTGCAAAGAGGCACAATATGTATCCACTATATGCTCTATGTATGAGTGACTGTGAGCAGTATATGTACCCACAATATGCTATGACTAGTTGCTGTGAGGACTCAGCTTATATATCTATCTATCCTATATGCTCTATGTAGGAGTTACTGTGAGCTATGACGAGTTGCTGGGAGAAGTATATGTACCCACTATATGCTCTGACAAGTGACTGTGAGCAGTATATGTACCCTCTATATGCTAAGACGAATTGCTGTGAGGTCTCGGTATATATATATATATATGTGTGTGTGTGTGTATATATATATATATATATATATAATTTATTTTCCTGGCCATATCCATGGCAGCACAACAATGGGGTAGCTCCTATCCCTAATTAGACAGGAACTAATTAAAATAAAGGTACAAATACCTCCTCCCTCAGTCTTTTTTGTTCCTGTCCTATCCCTATAGGACAGGGGTTCTCAATGTTAGTCCTCAGGACCTCCTACCAGTCCAGGGTTTAGGGATTACCTGGGTGTGTTTAGAAAAAGAAAAAGAAAAAAACACCTTCGAGTCTAAGGTGTTTATTTTTTTTTTATTTTTTTTCCCTAAACACCTGAGACCCAGGTAATCCCCAAATCCTGGACTGGTAGGGGGTCCTGAGGACTAGGTTGAACTCCTGCTATAGGACCAAATCAGTCTATTTCAGGACTATAATCACTTTTCTTTTCTGGCTTACCTCATGGTTTTTACCTTCTGCCCCCAAGGGAGTTCAGTCTCTCTTACTTGAGAAGCTTCAGTATCTGGCCCTGTGCAAAGGTGTCCCCCTGAAGATACCCCCTTAGTGACCGGGGGTTTACTTGCAGTGACCCTAGGGTAGCAAGAGGAAAAAAATGCCAATAACTCTTATTCCCTGCAGTGACCAAGAGGTAGCAGGAAGTGGCGAGAAGACTTGATCCTGGATGGATCAGTATATTTCTCCATATTGACAGCCCACATGTATGTACACACACAAATACTTTTTTCATATGTACTGTATTTAGTATACTTTATATATGTGGGTTCCCCCTCCTGCCTAATCCGTTTTTCTACATACCTCTTTTCATTCATGGTTCTCTCTCTTATTAATATTAATCTCTCAATGCCTTTCCGGTGTCCTGGAGTTCCTTCTGCGCATGTGCGTCATTTTCGCGCATGCACGCTAACTATTTTGCGTGCATGCGCCATGTCCACCCGTGAGGCAGTTATGATGCCTCCCATTCGGGCTTGGCTTCCGGGTTTGCCGCGAATGCGCATATAACAATTGGTGGTTTTACTCGTTCGGAGCATGCACGGGTAGGCGGTGACGTCAGACACGCCTATTTAAGCGCCAAATTTGAGTACAAACATTGCCTGATGACTTCATTAGGTCTCAAAGGACCTGCTTCATTTCAGAATCCAAATTTGAAAAGTTCCTGAAAATTTCAAGTTTCTCTGAAGGTAGGTTTTGCACATTTTTATTTTATTCTCTCTTTCTTTCTTCTTTTGCATTCAATAATAATAAATCCGTTTACCTAGAGTATTCTAAAACAATACCAATATGGAGAAAGAAAAAAGATCAATCTGTTCTGGATATAAAAATAGGTCACACTCTTAAGAGTTATAGGTAAGCCATATCATTTTTTTTTCCCATTCATATATTATAGGTGTAATACATAAAATAAGAGAGCTAATATGAGATATTTCACTGTCATGATAGTTCTACGGGAAAGAAAACGGTGAGGTCATCCAAAGGAAAATCACCAAAAAAGAATCAATGTGATGCTTGTAATAAAAAAACGCTGGAAGGCAAACGATTATGTGCAGAATGTTTATCGGAAGCAGCCGGAACATCTAATCCTTTAACTGAGTTTATGCAGTTCATAAAACAAGCGTTGACTCAGGGCATTAAAGAAGCAGGTACAAGAACCAAAAGACCCCGTTACATGACCCTTCAGATTACCAACAAAACGATTCATCAGACGAGTACATGGATATGGAGTCATACCAAGGAAATTTCTTATCTTCGGAAGAAGCAGCTCAGGCTCCTCCAGATTTTCTAGAACCTGCTCAAGTAGATCTTATTTATAAAGTCTGTAAATCTTTGAGTTTGAAAGTGGCAGTTACAGAACAGTCAACTTCTTAACGTTACTTCTCAGAGTTAAGAAAGAAAAGAGCAACCTTTCCTGTACATGATACTATCAAGGAATTAATTAAGGACAAATGGTCCAATACTGATAAAAAGCTTTCAGCACAAGGCAGAGTCTCTCGCCTCTATCCTTTTGACAAATCTGATTCATACCATTGGGATAACGCCCCTAAAGTGGATGCTGCAGTAGTTAGACTCGCAAAACATACCACATTACCAGTTGATGATGCAGGCTCATTTAGACACCCAATGGACAAGAAGATGGACTTACATCTTTAAAAAGCATATGTAGCAGCAGGTACTGGCTTTCACCCTGCAATAGCCCTTACATCAGTTTCCAGGGCCTCAAAAATCTGGATCGAGAATTTGGAAGAAGATATCAGAGATGGGAGAAACAGATCTTCTCTTCTGGAAAGGTTAAATGATATTAAACTGACCGTTGACTTTACCTCAGAATCCTCGGTGGATATGGTGAAAGCTCTAGCAAGAAACATGTCTCTCTCAGTATCAGCTAGAAGAGCTTTGTGGCTGAGATCTTGGTCCGCAGACTCATCATCAAAGTCTAGTCTATGTGCCCTTCCTTTTCATGGTGAGATGTTGTTTGGTAAAAATCTTGATGAGTGTATCAAAAGAGCTGCAGAAGGGAAAAGAGCTTTTCTCCCACAAGACTGGAAAACTCGTGGATCCTTTTGAGCCAGAAGGTACTCTGAATACCCCTCCTCTCGAGATACCAGATCATATAAACCTGGAAGAGAATATGGAAGATCTATTCCATGGAGAGGAGGACATTCTTCCAGCAGAGAAGGTACATCCAGGGGTTCTTCATTCCACAAGAAGCCTTTATCAAAAATTCCTCAGATTCGCTGTGGAAGAGGGTCACTTTCAGTTCCGTGCTCTCCCTTTTGGCCTAAGCACTGCTCTACATACTTTCTAAAAAGTTCTGGTGGCTTTAATTGCAGAACTCAGGAAAAAAGGCATCGCAATATATCATTACCTAGACGACATCTTGATTCTGGCAGAAAGCAGAGATATCCTAGAAAATCACGGCCTAGTATGTATGCAGTTTCTTCAGCAACACGGAAGATCAATATCTCCAAAAGCAACCTGAACCCATCTCAGTGCATGATATACCTAGGAGCGTCATTCAACACTGCAAAAAGTTTAGTTCAACTGTCCCCAGAAAGGGGTATGAAAATTCAGAGAAAGGTCAAAGACATGTTGGCATTCAATGTTAAAGAACAAAGGGTTTTCAAGGTCAGTAATTGAGACACTTCTTCAAGCAAGGAAGAAGTCCACTTCATCCACTTATTACAGAATCTGGGATGTATTCTCTTCATGTGCCAGTTCAAGACCTTTGGATATTCTGAATCCTTCAACCACAGATATTCTTGATTTTCTACAATCTGGCCTGGAGAAAGCATTGAGTTATAATACTTTGAAAGTCCATATTTCAGCCCTCTCTTCTTTAACCAATCATAAATGGGCATTGGACTCGGACATAGCAAGATTTCTGACTGCAGTCTTAAAAATCAAGCCCCCCATTAAATCTATTACTCCTCCATGGGATCTCCCTCTGGTCCTTAAGGCTCTTAAATCAGATCCTTTTGAACCATTGGAATCAAATTCCTGTCATCTTCTCACGATCAAGACAGTTCTATTGGTAGCCCTAACCTCTGGTAGAAGGGTGTCTGATCTTCAGGCTCTTTCGGCTCAAGAACCTTTTACTATATTTCATAAGGACAGAGTCATCCTAAGAACTGTTCCAGAAGTCCGCCCTAAGGTGACTTCGGAGTTCCATATAAATGAAGAAATAGTTCTTCCAGCATTAAGTTCAGATGAAACAAATAACGGAGAAGACGCTGATTGGAAGGCTATCGACTTAGTGAGGTGTCTCAAGATATATATACAAAGATCCTCAGAATGGCGTAGTTCTGAAAGGCTTTTTATTATTCCTAACAGCACTAGGAAGGGCCTCTAAACTTCGAAAGCCACTCTCAGTAGATGGATAGTTTCGGCTATTATCCAATCTTATCGAGCATCTAAAACAAGTATTCCTGAAGGTTTGAAAGCACACTCTACACGTTCTCTCTCTTCATCCTGGGCAGCTGCAGCAAAGGTTTCTACAGAACTGGTTTGCAAAGCAGCCACTTGGTCATCTTCTAATACATTTATCAGACATTATCGTTTAGATGTTAGGGCTGGTCAATACGATGAATTTGGCAGATCGGTTCTTTCTGCTTCAAATGATTAATTTATTCTCTTATATTGTTCGTCACATGTGGTTGATTG